AATTGCGATTTATACGCTAATATACCTCTTATAGATTCCTGTAATGCGATAAGAAAGAAAATATGTTTTTTTCTTTCTTTTTTTATAAATAGTTTTGAGAAATGCATTGCTCTTTGGACTTAATATCTGTCATTTAATTTGTATATATATTTTTTTAAGGAACGAAGAAATATTTTCTTGTAATTTCATGTTTGAAAAATTGCTTGATCTTTTGACAGAAGAAGAAAATGTAAAATGCTTAAAATAAAAAAGCATAAGACAATGTTGAATTTCATATCCCAACGGGAAGACTCACATGTTTGATTATGTATCAAACAACTGTGTTCGCCCTAGATATTGCTTAAATTCCAATACAACAGGCAATTTAAATTAAATAAAATCTGATGAATTTAAAATTTCAATATGCTTAGCGCTTCCCAGTACTTTCAGTACTTTGATTGTTCTACTGTCTCCTTTGAGGATGTCGTGCATGCATTGCACGTTTTACAACTTATCTCTGTTCTCCTTGTAAGATAACAGTATTTAGCCCTTTGACCTCGCCTACCACAGTTATGGCACTTAAAAAGGGAACCTTGTTTGATCGGAACTTGGTATCGAACTTGTTGTCTACTGGTCTCTTTGCGTTCTGACAAAGTGGCTATTTTGTTCACAAGGTTTTGCAGTGACGACCGAAGTTCATCTCGTAATTGTCTCAAATCTTCCTGTACCTTTGTATCAGCTTCCGATTGTCCCTCTAATTCACTATGTGCTGTTCTGGCAAAACTAACATCATGTCTTCTCTGGCGTTCAGCTCTTCAAAAAGCTTCAATCTCCACGGCCAGCCGAACTGCGTCATTTAAAGATTTGGTCAGTGACTGCTGAATTCTAAGACGCATATCAAAGTCCGTTTAGGCGTCGATGAACTGAGGCCTGTTCAGCAGTGCGAACGTTCGCGAGCGCTCGTCAAAATTACTATTGGAGGTATAAGTAATTTTAGCGAGCGCTCGCGAACGTTTGCTTTACTGAACAGGCCTCTGGTCTTTAACAATCATCTCTGTAACCTCACGTGGTGCCGTCGGGTACGCTAAATGTGCTAGTCGTCGTATACTTTCCCCTAATTCTGGCAGTGTCTCCTTTGGCAACTGATGTTTTTCCTTTAACATGGCTCGATATAGTTCCGTCTTTAGTCGGTGCAAATCTAGCCTCTAACGCTTCACACAAATCTCTATATGCACAAGCATTATCTGTTTTCAAATTCACAAGAACTGTCTGTGCTTGGCCTCTTAATGATGCTGCCAGGTACAAGTCCTTTTGTCTATCATTCCACAGGTTGATGCTACTGCAGGCCTCGAAATGAACTTTGTAATCAATCCAGGACCCGTACCATCAAATGTCGCAGGCTTCATCACAGTTTTACCAAATGTGTTAGTGCTAAGATAATAACCACTGTTTTCATTCACTGGTAACGCTGCACCTAATGGTGTACTTGGTACAGTCGGCATAGGTTCTCTGTCCTTTGCAAGACTCCATGTAACACTTGTGGGTGTTGACATTGAGCTTACACCTAACGTACTCCAGTGTACATGCGGCATTGAAATTCGAGATGTTTATGCTGATTTACCCAGTGACACTCCTGAGTACGCCGACTTTGGTGTGGTGTAAACATCGCCTCTGTCCCAAATATCTTTGGTTCCAGAAACATGGAAATCATAAGCTTGGGGTTATGTTTTTCATATCCACCCATAGCTCCTTTCACATTACTTGCTCTAGTGGTGGGGTTTATGTCAACTTTACCCATCAACTCATCTATACTGTCGTCATCAGTCTTTTGCCTCAAGTCTACACCGGAATCAGTAACTAGAGGGCCTAGTAACATTAAATGAGCTTGGCGTAGACTTTAACTTTTCTAACGTTTCTCTAAATTGTCGTCGTCTAACGTCAATTTTTCAAGATCTTCCCAAAGTTCTGATTCTCGTTCATTATTCATGTTTAATTTCTATATACCAAGTAACCAAAAAAAAAAAAAAAATACTTGGTACTCAACTATATTAAATCTTACTGTGGTGCACTTACCTAACACAGTGCACACAGAACTCTGTACCTGGTAGCTGAACCAAGTACTAGTAACTGATCTGCATTCACGAGAACCCGGTGACAGAACACAGTTCACACCAATAAATAAACTTGAATCAGCAGATTTTAGCAATTAAATATACCCTGTATCCCTTTACCAGCTGCCTGTAAACTAAGGGTCCGTTTTCCAGGGATACGGAGTCTTAATATTATCGAAATATATATGAACTTTTCCTCTGGCTCTATCTGAGCCTATAATTCATACTGGGAACTAAAATTATTTACAATAATGATTATTATTTTCAGGGGACACTTGTCCCTTTTTTTAAACAGCGGGATACAATTAGAGGTTCTTTGTAACCAAGAACTACCTGTATGATTGGGCTCCCTGCACCTGGTTCTGAAACCAAGTTCTTATTGTAATGAGTACTCGGTACCTCACCCTTATTCAGGATTACTATACCTTGCACTTCACTACAATTTCTTGGCTTACCATTTACCGGCGCTCTGTACCCTAGCCTTAATTTTATTTCACTGTTTTAATTCTTCTGTTCTAAGATTACCTATTATCTTCTTTTCAACTTTACACTTCTTCTGCGGGTTTCTGAAAAGGTCGACACTGTATGTACAGCTGTTTATATAGCCAAGGGCTATACCATTCAAACAGGGGTGTGGAGGCTCCTGGACTGTTCAATTATTCTAGGTCACACCAACGTTTAAATGGTATAGGCCCATTGTCTTATTAAATATTTATTACACTACCCACACCTCTGTATACTTGCGTCCCACATGTTCATTGGTTACGTTTTTTTAGACAATATAAAAGATCAACAAAACGAGGTTAAGAATTCCTTTCTTATACCTAGTTAAACAATTATTCAAGTATTTACAACAATAGACTTATGTACATGTGCATTGTTTCTTTTCATAAGTACTTCACCATAATTAGTCATTTCAAATGTCTTCCTCAACTCTCTCCACACATTCACCATCCTTTTGGTACTTCCTCACAACTCTAACTGTTCTCTGGTGGCGACTTCTGTCCGTCTGAGTGCTCACATCCAACCTAATAACATGTTCTTTACAGCAGGGGAAGTGATGTAAAACCATGGGCGCCTCATGATCCTTACCACCATCTACCAGGGTTGAACCTTTGTCTTCACATTGGTCAGGCACCTTGTCTACAAGTTCGTCTGCCTTGCGCTTGACTACAGGGAGACTGGGCGAAGTTTTCTTCCTGATGGTTTTACCAACTTTAAGGCCTGTCTCATAAATAAGGTCAGCTGGATCTTCTTGCCAGTCAGAATCATTATCATGGCCATCTACAACTACCGACTTGGAGTTCAATGGTACATTGCTTTCTCCATCTTGCAAACCAGTAGTTGAGTGTAATCTTTTCTGTTGTCTTATTATAAGGGAACGCTTAGCAAATGCCTTGTCGCACTTGTCACATTCGAATCTTCGTTTATTCGTGTCCGTAGATGCATGAAATTGCTTAGGACATATCTTTCTATTCCTTGGTGGAATCGTTCTTGTCTCTTTCACACAGACTCTGAAACACCCTAGGTAAACGTCACTCAAGGTGGAGCTCATGGTCAATTCCTCCAACATACATTTTATCCGAAGAAACGTCTATGGAGCATTTAAAGTATTTTAGAAAATCTAAACCAAGGATGCTGTCATTGCCAAAATCTGCTACCACTGCCTCAAAAGTGAACTCATGATTTCCCAACAATAAGTCGAATGTGCACTTACCTTGCACTTGTAATAGTGTTCCATCGGCAAGTATTACTAGTATTTTCTTTGTTACAGGAATCAGATTGATAGTTTCAGTGTTAAGCATGGTCTCAAATACTTTATTTGACAAAATCGTCAGTGTAGCCCTGGTATCCACTAACAATGTACAAGGCACCTTATTAACACTAGCCGTTATAAATAAACCAGACTGAACATCAACTCTTGTTTGAGTGACTGAACTTGTATTAGACTTCCTATTCTTAGGCTTAGCCTCGTTTGCCTCTTTTTAAGCGCTAAGCGCAGCGCAAAGCACTTTCTGTCACCGTAAATCTACTTCCGTTCGTGATCCAGCGCCACTAAGCAAGTTAGATAACTCCTCTGGTTTTTCTAAAAATATGCAACTGGAAATCCCCGACTCTCTTTCGGCTATTAAAGTGTAGTACTGAGTTACGTGCAGTTCTAATAATAAGAGTTAATTAGTAGGTAAAGATATGCATGTGCATTGTATGAAAACCCACTGTTAGTAGGTAAGGGCTGTTCTTATCATGCTTATCTCTATATTGTATTTCATTTTAAATCGTGTCGGCATTCATCACATGTGTACCATGTAGCTAACAATTGCTGCATCTATGACGCAAATACTGAATTAAAAATGGTGTATTAAATGTCATGTACAATGTAGTGATCAATATTAATGTAGTGATCAAATAAGTAGATATTTTTAAAACTGAGATTTTATTTTGAAAAGTATTTAAAACTCGAACTGGAATTGAGTCACTTTGTAGAAAATTTCGCATAAAATTAATTAACTATGTGCTTACATATGTACATTCTATATAACGTATGTCCATATAAACAATTATTTCTTCTTCTACTCGTAGAACCTAATTTCAACCAATGCAACTAAAACAAGTCTTCCTGTTATCACCCTTGCACCCTGCAGAGAGCTATCAATGAAGTTGATTTTCGCATCCAAGTATCAATTAATAACAGACGGGAATACATTCAAGGACTGTCTACACTTTGTGTTATACTCTATACTTGTAATATGGGTAGGAAATATGATGTAAATAATTCGCAATGAAGGGCAGTTTGCGGCTGTAGGTATATAATGTAGGGCACGTGGTGGCTGTGTTTTCAACGAATCCCCTCAAATAGAAAAACTAATTTCTTAAACACATTTATATATATGAAAGATACTGAAAGTTATTGGGACAAACAAAGTAGTTGTTAGAATAATGTGCTTTAAAATTGTGTGTACAGTGCGCAAAATACGGAGAAAAATGCAAAAACTATAATTAAACTTTCTTAGCATTGGACAGGAATGGTGCCGATGAAATTGTAAGCAATAGTGTACACGGTGATACTTGTATTAGGAAACTAGGAATAAATAGTTTAATTCTGTAAAGATGTGTCTACAACATCAGAGGTAGGATCGGGTGCCATTCAAAACAAAATGTTTCATATAGTCTAATTTTTATTTATCTTTATTCAAATACTGGACGCTCGTAGCGATTGTGTAAATACCTTACACACTCATACCTTACACACTCCATTGATGTATTTCTTGTAAAATTCTTTCTAGAAAATCGTAAATTTATACATCGCTTTTGAATATGTATAAAAAGAGATATACTAAAATTAATTTAGTAAGAATACTTGTATTCGATATTTTTGAGTTGTTTATTCATAACTGTAATGAATAATAATATATCAATAATGAATTTTTCATCGACGCAATAAACAAATAACATCTTTATTTTCCAAGTGCAATTTCTCAAATTAAAGTACAGTCACCAACAGCCAATCTCCAATTTGCAACACTCGTAAACAGGCAATGAATTTAATTATTATTAAAAATTATTACCAGAACATTTTAGTTGTCGTTGTTGCATATCAATGAAAGGAATTTCAGCGGCATTTTCAAGTGTTCAAAATAATTTAGAAATACACAGACATGTTCATTTTCCAGCAAATTTATGGCTACATTTATGAAAACTCGTCGACCATCCCCCTTTCAATAAATTGCGATTTATACGCTAATATACCTCTTATAGATTCCTGTAATGCGATAGAGAAAGAAAATATGTTTTTTTCTTTCTTTTTTTATAAATAGTTTTGAGAAATGCATTGCTCTTTGGACTTAATATCTGTCATTTAATTTGTATATATATTTTTTTAAGGAACGAAGAAATATTTTCTTGTAATTTCATGTTTGAAAAATTGATTGATCTTTTGACAGAAGAAGAAAATGTAAAATGCTTAAAATAAAAAAGCATAAGACAATGTTGAATTTCATATCCCAACGGGAAGACTCACATGTTTGATTATGTATCAAACAACTGTGTTCGCCCTAGATATTGCTTAAATTCCAATACAACAGGCAATTTAAATTAAATAAAATCTGATGAATTTAAAATTTCAATATGCTTAGCGCTTCCCAGTACTTTCAGTACTTTGATTGTTCTACTGTCTCCTTTGAGGATGTCGTGCATGCATTGCACGTTTTACAACTTATCTCTGTTCTCCTTGTAAGATAACAGTATTTAGCCCTTTGACCTCGCCTACCACAGTTATGGCACTTAAAAAGGGAACCTTGTTTGATCGGAACTTGGTATCGAACTTGTTGTCTACTGGTCTCTTTGCGTTCTGACAAAGTGGCTATTTTGTTCACAAGGTTTTGCAGTGACGACCGAAGTTCATCTCGTAATTGTCTCAAATCTTCCTGTACCTTTGTATCAGCTTCCGATTGTCCCTCTAATTCACTATGTGCTGTTCTGGCAAAACTAACATCATGTCTTCTCTGGCGTTCAGCTCTTCAAAAAGCTTCAATCTCCACGGCCAGCCGAACTGCGTCATTTAAAGATTTGGTCAGTGACTGCTGAATTCTAAGACGCATATCAAAGTCCGTTTAGGCGTCGATGAACTGAGGCCTGTTCAGCAGTGCGAACGTTCGCGAGCGCTCGTCAAAATTACTATTGGAGGTATAAGTAATTTTAGCGAGCGCTCGCGAACGTTTGCTTTACTGAACAGGCCTCTGGTCTTTAACAATCATCTCTGTAACCTCACGTGGTGCCGTCGGGTACGCTAAATGTGCTAGTCGTCGTATACTTTCCCCTAATTCTGGCAGTGTCTCCTTTGGCAACTGATGTTTTTCCTTTAACATGGCTCGATATAGTTCCGTCTTTAGTCGGTGCAAATCTAGCCTCTAACGCTTCACACAAATCTCTATATGCACAAGCATTATCTGTTTTCAAATTCACAAGAACTGTCTGTGCTTGGCCTCTTAATGATGCTGCCAGGTACAAGTCCTTTTGTCTATCATTCCACAGGTTGATGCTACTGCAGGCCTCGAAATGAACTTTGTAATCAATCCAGGACCCGTACCATCAAATGTCGCAGGCTTCATCACAGTTTTACCAAATGTGTTAGTGCTAAGATAATAACCACTGTTTTCATTCACTGGTAACGCTGCACCTAATGGTGTACTTGGTACAGTCGGCATAGGTTCTCTGTCCTTTGCAAGACTCCATGTAACACTTGTGGGTGTTGACATTGAGCTTACACCTAACGTACTCCAGTGTACATGCGGCATTGAAATTCGAGATGTTTATGCTGATTTACCCAGTGACACTCCTGAGTACGCCGACTTTGGTGTGGTGTAAACATCGCCTCTGTCCCAAATATCTTTGGTTCCAGAAACATGGAAATCATAAGCTTGGGGTTATGTTTTTCATATCCACCCATAGCTCCTTTCACATTACTTGCTCTAGTGGTGGGGTTTATGTCAACTTTACCCATCAACTCATCTATACTGTCGTCATCAGTCTTTTGCCTCAAGTCTACACCGGAATCAGTAACTAGAGAGGGCCTAGTAACATTAAATGAGCTTGGCGTAGACTTTAACTTTTCTAACGTTTCTCTAAATTGTCGTCGTCTAACGTCAATTTTTCAAGATCTTCCCAAAGTTCTGATTCTCGTTCATTATTCATGTTTAATTTCTATATACCAAGTAACCAAAAAAAAAAAAATACTTGGTACTCAACTATATTAAATCTTACTGTGGTGCACTTACCTAACACAGTGCACACAGAACTCTGTACCTGGTAGCTGAACCAAGTACTAGTAACTGATCTGCATTCACGAGAACCCGGTGACAGAACACAGTTCACACCAATAAATAAACTTGAATCAGCAGATTTTAGCAATTAAATATACCCTGTATCCCTTTACCAGCTGCCTGTAAACTAAGGGTCCGTTTTCCAGGGATACGGAGTCTTAATATTATTGAAATATATATGAACTTTTCCTCTGGCTCTATCTGAGCCTATAATTCATACTGGGAACTAAAATTATTTACAATAATGATTATTATTTTCAGGGGACACTTGTCCCTTTTTTTAAACAGCGGGATACAATTAGAGGTTCTTTGTAACCAAGAACTACCTGTATGATTGGGCTCCCTGCACCTGGTTCTGAAACCAAGTTCTTATTGTAATGAGTACTCGGTACCTCACCCTTATTCAGGATTACTATACCTTGCACTTCACTACAATTTCTTGGCTTACCATTTACCGGCGCTCTGTACCCTAGCCTTAATTTTATTTCACTGTTTTAATTCTTCTGTTCTAAGATTACCTATTATCTTCTTTTCAACTTTTTACTTCTTCTGCGGGTTTCTGAAAAAGTACACACTGCCTCTGCAGCCGTTTATATAGCCAAGGGCTATACCATTCAAACAGGGGTGAACAGGCTCCTGAACTGTTCCATTATTCTAGGTCACACCAACGTTTGAATGGTATATAGGCCCATTGCCTTATTCATTACTTATTACACTACATGTACACCTAAACCTATCAGTAAACTTAAAGGTATTCATCGGAATATTCGCAGAATCTCATCTGAATGCCAAGAAATGCAATTTACCGTATAACTCATATGAGAATGGAGGGGGTCAGTTTTGCACGAAGACGAAGTACCCATAGTTTATTTATTTAGATAATATTTTGTCGCCATTTTAAAATCTTTAAACTTTAGTGAATGGTCAATTGTAGGCTGTGTCTTTCGTTGCAAACCCAGTGGCCTCCATTCTACAAAGCATACAGAATGTACATCTATGAACAGCCTAAGTCGCTCCACCAACTACCAGAAGATAGACTGTAGTCCTGATAATATGATTTACATAGCTCAACAAAACATGAGATACGCAGGAGGTATAGTCAATCCGTTTTCAACTAACAAAATTGAATGCCAAAAGCATGGAGACCCAACGGAATGTTTTCGTTCAATTCCTGCTGATTTTGATGTAGATTTTACCTCATATTTCAATATATCTCAAAAGTGTAATGGCATGAGGATGTGCATCCTTACTTTTAGCGACTACTACAATTCAGTAAGAAAATTTCTGGATTCATGTGAACTCGGGGGAAGGTACGATTTTGAACAAGTTCGCAATATGGCAAACTATGAATGTTTAGCAAGTAAGAGAAGTTCCAATTATGAATTTTTCCTCTTATTTTTTTTTTAAATATAAAGGTGATACTAGTACTTAATTCAAAGAAAATTTTTATTTAAAGCTGAAACTGTTTTTCACGTCAGAAGCAATATCACAGTCATTAGACAAGGGACTGTATATCTAACAGTGAGTACAAACACAGGGTGTCATGTCACAGGAAAGATTAACGCATCACGAATCTTGGAGCAGACCCACGTAGAACTAAGGATCAGTCATGACAGCAACCAGATATGCACAGGTAACCCTGCTTCTTGGACACAACAAAGTTGTTACAAGCTCGTTTTGAAGTAGGTTTTCATTACTACAGTATTTCCAAGAACTCGAATTTTTGTTCATATGTCATACAGTGTTAGCAATGTTTTGTTAATTAATACCCCCACCCCCAGCTAAACTAAGATTTTTCTGATTCTCTCTATTGTCACGGTTTTCTATTTCGCGTATTTTCCCCAAATGAAGCACACTTTTGGATTTCCATCACTGGCAAATGCATAAAAGCAGTAATACAGATGTAAATTGAGTATTTGTATAGTACAATTTTTTTTTATCAAAACAAAATTTGCTATTAATATTCTTGATCATGACACTATATGCGATTGTATTTTTGGTGCGATATCAGAATCAAGTAAAACAGTATTGATTTATTTTTATTTTCTATTTGAATTACAGTTTATGCTTACCAAGAAAGTACTATTATTAAGCAGATAATGTATTGCTAAGGGGACCCGATGTTTTCGCCCCCCCCCTTCCCCCCTCTCTAGTTATATGGAATCTGTAATCATCTTGATTTGAACATATTTAGGTCTAATTGCAATAAATACATTCAATAGGGTTAGACATAAGTTCTAAGCACTAGTATCTCAGTCTGACTACAAATTTCCATCTTCCTTCTCTTGTTATTTTCATTATTGAATATTTTACCTACATTGTAAATGAGCAGCATACGTATTTCAGGACTATACTTATTGGTTACTTTTCAATCTCGTTTTCGTTACGCAGAATATTATCCCTGAGGATGATGTACTTGTATATACATATAGATCTATTTTCAGCATCCTCAGTACTAAGTTCGTGTTACAAACATTTGGTTGATATGCAGTTATATAATCAACCCAAAGTGTTGATAAAAAAGTTTTCTTTCATTAGTTTCATAATCGACTTGATTACACATAGGGTTGACTTGAAACATTGAATAGAGCTACACATAGGGTCGACTTGAAACATTGGATAGAGCTTTCTTTTCTGAATCATGCTTGTTTAGTGTGTGGGAAGACGCAGTTTTCCCTCGATCATGCTGTAAAAATCCTGCTTTTAATAGTCTTCTACTCACATTATGCAGGGTTTTTTTTCTCAGTGTGTATGTTCATTCAGTAGTTCCTATATCAAACTTGATAAAGAAGTAACCCAAATTAAATTAAAATAGATCTTTTTAGTTGATGGTTTGAACGATTCAATACCGTATAAGTAGATTTTTTTAACGAGGATTTAATTTTGGCATTATTAGCGAGGGTGCCGAGATCGCTAAAATTGAAAATCGCTAAAAATTAATTGTGTTTTATTTGTAATAGCTTCTTTGATGTGCATTTTAAAATCACTAAAATAACATCTCGCTAAAAAAAAAATTACCAGTTTTTAAGGACAAATCGCTGAATTTGCGTCTCGCTAAAATTTCCACTTATCCGGCAATAAATTTTCCTAAATCAAACTAGGTAACGAAGTAAACCAAATGAACATAAAACTGACCTTTTTAAAAGATTTCTTAAATCTAAAAGAGAATAATATTCTATTATCAAATCCCACCTCTAAAATTTCACGGGGGCCTATGTTTATGCCTTGTTCACGATTATTAAATGTATATTATTTATAACTTTTATGAGACCGATCACTGCTTGTTAACCCCCCGGTTTTTTTTTAATTATTTCTGGACCAAAAGTTGTAGAAAAATGCATAAATACAAAAGAAAGAAGCGATAAACCAATAAAAAAAAAACAAGATCCAAATACTGTGTAATATCATATTGTTTGTAAATTGCTTAAAATATGTAGCAATTCTTTTAAAAATGAAAACTGAATACAATAGACCTTATTATTATTGTATCAGAATGGAGTGGGGCATTTTATTACAATAAGGAATTTTCCTGCATAAAAGGACTAGATGATGTTTTAATTTACGTGGATGTCAAGAAAACCAATGCATCAACAAGTCTATGGATTGAAATAAAAGGTAGTTAGAAAGAAATGTGCCTGGCATATGTTACATCTATATCTATTAAAATTCACTATATTTATGAGTTTTAAATGTTGTATCTATATATATATAAATCAAATATATAAGCTGTGTTCATATCCAGGGGATCATCTGCAAATAGACTGTAGAGAAGAATATTTTTCTGACATGCCTTTGGTGCCAGAGGAATCTAGCAGGAATCTCGTCTTTATTCTTGGAGGAGTGGGGATTGCACTGATAGCTGGAGCTATTTGTGTTTTCGTGGTCGTCAAAATGTAAGTCTTGAAAGTAAGATAAAAAATATCACAAACAAATACGATATTTTGGAGATTGCTTGAAATTGTGAAATAAACTGTGTTTCGGTAATTTCATATGAATGAAAAATATTTTAATACAAGTAATATGAAAAATATGTATTAAATTTTAATTAATAGGAAATTCTGTAGAAGACCTGATTTCAATAAACATAATATAAATGAGAAAGTCAGACCTACGAGCACATTTAATCATCAGGATGGCGTACAGAAAAATTCACGTATGAATAAAGACTCTGCAAATCAAATCAAGGGTTTTAAGTCAAATCGTGAAATCTCAAACACTGATAAGACAGAGACCTTACTTCCGGTACAGGATGGGGATTATTCCTTAATCAGGGCTCCAAATTTTGAAGAACAAAATGACAAAGTGAAAGGTGGCAACACAGTCACAACAGACACACCCTCTCAGGTGCAGGATGGGATTTATTCCTTAAGCAAAGCTTCAGATTTTGACGGAGAAAAGGACAGTGTTAAAGATGGGAAAATCGATATGACAGAAACCTCACTTCCGGTACAGGATGGGATGTATTCCTTAATCAGTGCTTCAGATTTTGGAGAAAAAAGTGACATCATGAAAGATGACAAATTTTCCGACCAAGAAAATAAAGAAAAGATAACAAAACTAAATGACAGTGGCAACCCAGATACAAATCAGATTATAGGAGAGGTGACGGGGGATGTTTATGCCTCTGTGTGTAAAAGAGACAATCTGGAAGACAGTCGAATTGCTGGTCCAAAAGGAGACATCTACACGACTGTTTCCATGCCATCAAAAACAAAATGAACTTCTTGAAATTTAATTATAAAATTATACTTTTAATCCAAATTGAATGGTATCTGTGTTTACCAATATCCATGTTTACTTGAAGGATTTATGTCCCTTTTAAAAAAGTGCAACGATCTTACATACACTAAAGGTTTACATTCAGACAAGTTCTTTTCATGTATACAAAACACTTGTACATTGCTTGGGGTCTAAAAAATGTCAATTGTGTTATATTGTAAAAATCCATTTATTGTATCGGGGTAAATGCAAAATATACAAATAGAATCTAGTTATCATGTAGTAAAGTTTTAAATTTAGAAATCTCGTATATTCACGATGAGGTTGATTCCATTTCCCTTTTTTTAAACATAAAAATACATTCTTGAGGACAAGCAAAATACTCTTTGGGAAACATTGAAATTCCGCTTATTTCATTCCATTTTTACTGATAATCAGTTCGTGTACTTCAACTTCATCAAAGTAATACTGATAATTAATTATTATTTAATCTGTTGTTTCTTAAATCATTGGTTTTTCCTCTGTAGGACTGTAAAATTTAAAATAGTGAGCATTAGACGTGTCAAAGTCACATTTTTAATTTCACGTAATCTCACGAAGTTAACGAAAACATCAGTGTTTCTAACAATTAACTTATTGAGCTGAATGTACTTCATACATGCGCATATCTTTATCATGTATCGTCTTCTTAGGCACATCAGAAAAGTAGCTCTTTTTTCTCAGGAAAAGCTCACTTCAGCCTTCAGTTGCTTGTCATGTAATATATTAAAAACCATTCTCTACTTCCTAGTACTCTCCGTTGTTTGTAAAGATGGAAGTGATTTTTATTTTACTTATTTCTTTAAGTAAGTATTAAAAGTGATACATGTATAAATATTAAGTTTGAGAGAGCAGAAATGACCATGTTTCTTGAATATCAGTAATTTTGTATAAATATTATAGGATGGGCATGTGTATGTCAAACCATGGAACTGCGGCACACAGAATGCTTATCAAGAGAGTTATTACCATATAACAAGAAACACGATGTAGCCTGTTCTTCGAGTAAAAAGATTTATATATATAACTTCACAGTTTACAAAATATGAACATGATGAAGGTCGGTCATATTACCGAAAAGATGAGGAGCAGTGCCAGAACTCGACTTCAGCAACATGTTTTCGTTCTTTTCCTTCAGAAAAGGGAACAGATTTTACATCATATTTCAAAGTATCCCAAATCTGTAATCGTAAGAGCAACTGTGTTTTGGCCAGGCGCGATTACTATAAATCTGTGGTTGAGTTCACAACACAATGTAGGTGCTGCACAGGTCGGACGAAGTTTTCCAGAATACGATTTATGTTGTATTTTGAGTGTTTTTCAGGAGGTCTAGTATTTCTTTCTTTTACGATTTATTATCGTAGAGATTTCTTAAAATATGTTTTCACTGATAATTTAGCTTTCTTTTCAAACAAGAGTCAAGTTAATTGCATTATGTTTTAATGTTTATATCGAGATACCGGGTAAGTAAATCAACATGTTCTTTTTAAGTGAAATTGAGAAAAAAGGAAAATGCTTTTGATGAATTCTATCTTCCAGCTCAATATAATGTAGATAATATTAGGAATTTAACGGAAAACCAGGAGGGTTCCTTATATCTAGAGGCAAGAAAATCTAATAAATGCAGCATAAATGGGTACATTGAATCAGCCAGAATCTTGGAGCAGGCCCACATAAGACTGACCATCATGAATGACTTGAAACGCTGTAATGAGTCATCCGGTAAATTTTACAACTAACGCACATAATTGCTACTAATAATTTTAATGTAAAACGTTAAGTAAGAGTGAAAGATATACAAGTATGTCTTAATGCATATTGCGGTTTTAATTACATCAAATTTATATCATTTTCAGATTTATTTACCTGATGTACTTCAGAAAATGTAAAACTTTGGAAGTGACGATGTTTCTTAAAAATACCTCAAATCGAACCATTATAAATTTTATATATTCAGTACAGACATCTAGTTTTTTTTTAGTTTAATAACTCGAGACAAATATTTGATAAGCCTTATCTTTCTGGAAGATTTTAAAGAACCTTGTTTTACTAACATTTCAGAACTTGAAAATTTCAACTACAACAGGGAATTACCTTGTGTTAAAGGATTGACAAGCGTTATTCTTGATATTGAGACTTCCGCAGACCAACGTGTAGCTTCTAAAATACTATGGACGTAATTTAAAGGCTTGTAATCGCAATAATCATGTTATAGTTTCAAAATTTTCAAACCTAAACTTTTAAAATTTAAAAAAAATATTTTATTCACTTATAGGACGCTCCCTGCAGTTGATCTGTGGTGACAGCATAGAGGCCGTACAACTGGAGTCTGAACATTTAGAGACGGAGGAGTCGGCGGAGCCCCTCTCTATTCCCGTTATAGTGGGACCCCTGGCAGGTGCCCTCCTGGTGGTGGTTGTTATAATGATAGTCATCTTCAAAAGGTAGTAGCTCCGATTCTGTCAAAGTTCACAGACAAAACAAAGCATTCCTATAAATAAAACAACAACAAACATACAAAAACAACCACAAAAACAAACATACAACAACAAAAATAAAATGAAACGAAACACTACAAAAGGTAAATAAAAAATCATGTAAATGAAATCATAATTCTTCGTCTAAAAAATTAAAGTTCATGTGTATTTTTTGATAGAAAAAAATCTCGGATTTTCTCGAAAACCAAAGAAAAACAGAATGAGTTCGTAACACCCACAGTTCTGGAACATGATGCGGTTTATCATAATGAAACCAATGTACCCGAAATCACAGAAGGACTCTATGCATGGACCAAAATTCTCCTGCTACTTTTCAATACAATCTCAAATCCTCAATTCACTACTCAAGCGTTGAGGCCATCCTCAACAGAGGAAATTCTCAAATCACCACCACCAACATAGTTGAGTATGTACTCTGTTGAATATGAATTTTTAGGTTCTCAACTCTACTGAGTACATACTCAGTCAATTTTTTTCAATGATGTAAGCGGTCTCACGAAATATACGAAGTACACAAAATTTGATGAAATGTTTGTTACGTAATAAACAGGTATTGCCGTCTGCTTTGTTTGTTTGTTTTATTCACAAACATGGAGCTTGTCGAAGTAAAATTCCCGACAGAACAAAATAATCCTAAGAAAAGGGGCACCAATTGGACTTCAGAGGAGGAGATCCTCCTAATAGAAGAGGTTTTGAAGTATGAAGAGACCCTCTTCGGTAAAATGAAGGGTTCGGGGGTGAAGGGTAAACATGGCAAATTGAAAGAATCTACGTGGAAATCCATCGCAGAAACCCTTAACTTGTAAGTTCTGTTGTTGCATATTCAATCAAAACATTTAATTTTCCTACACTTAAAAATTATTATAGCTTATTAAGTTTTTACTTAACTTTTCCTTTCCAACTCGCTGTAACGCGGACCTGTTGTAAATAAAGTTTAGTAGTTATCTCCCTTCAATCTTTACATGGGTAACTATTCATTTCGACCCAATACTGTTTGGAACGTGACGGTTTGACATCCATTGATGTGCAGTTGTATATTAGATCTAAAGTTAAAAAAATACGATGCGTTTTTTTTTTTAAGAAAACGTTTTAATCGCAGAAGATTAACGGACAAGAATGAAAACATTTCACATTTGATTTTGTATATAAGAATTTTCTATCCATTTCATTATGAATTTATAAATTCTTATAATAGCTTATACAAAGAATTTTTAAATTGCTGTAATGAATTCAACAATTTTTAGAAACGGATTAAATTCGTTATAAGGATTAAATTCATTGAAATTGATATAATTAATTAACAATTCATTTAACAATAATTTAATTTTGTTTGCATTCTAGTCTCTCATTGGTTGATTTCCAAAAAGGAACGGAAATTATTTTTCAATAATCTGGTTTGGTATGGGGACACACCCCCTTGACAACCAGCCAGCTGAATCATCTGTATCCATGTAATCCCCTCATTTCCAGTCCTTCGGATTCATGAAAAATTCCAGATTTAATAAATGTACCTTTAACTTCAAACAGTTGCTCGATCTTACCTCATGTAAACAAGCATCATGGCTGCTAGATCTATGTATCAGTTTTTACCTCCCCTTGCTTCCCATCACTTCCGTTACTACGGTTGTATTATTGCGCGGTAAATTTGAACTAATAAAAACAACACAATTTTACATCCCCAGTTTTTAATTATTTTAAAATTAAATTATAAGGAATGACTGGCCATATTATCGAGATAATATGGTTTGGGTCAGTTTACGCTTTTTTATAATCCGCTTCGCGGATTATAAAGCGTAAACTGACCCAAACCATATTATACTCGAATAAAATTCTTTATACTGGCAATTTTTAAAACGGATTAATTCGTTATAAGGATTAAATTCATTGTTGATATCAATTCATTTAACAATAATTTATAACACATCAAATTATACAATATACTCACCAAGTATTCGTTACATCGGATTCAGTGATATTTTTTGATACGTCCTAATTGGCGATCTCAATAAACTTATGACTAAAAGTAATAGTTATCCATAGTTTTCTCATACGATTGTCTGACCAGGCCCCCCCCCCGCCGAGTTTGCCAGTTATGTTCTGTGGTCTTAAATTAGGTGTTAACAGGTTAAAGCATTTTCTGAAGTATTCTTTATACATTCATATACTATTAATTATTATTGTATACAGAAAGAGAATATCGCTTTGAACACCAAAGTCGCTATTAAATGTCATCGTTTCCTTATTCTTCTGATTTTTTTTTCGATGGCTTACTTTTCTAAATACTCTCGGGCGGTTGATATTCAAAATGATGGTGTTGTAGAAGCTACAAAAATGACAGAGACAACGACACAGTAAAGAAGAAATTTAACAACATCAAACAAAGAGGTATCAATTTTTTTTTTTAATTTAGTCGTTTAATTCTTGTAGGTTTCATTTAGACTTTTGATGATTATTTTAAATTTGTTTTGATGATTTCCATTTGTTTTTTGTCAGTACAAAACTTCATCTAAACGTTTATTGTTATCATTGTTGTTATCATTTTGGTTCAAGTTTATGCAAAACGGAAACGGTTTCGTATCATCGTTTCTGAAATTTGGGGAGGGGTAGTCAGAGAGAGAGAAGGGAGAGAAAGAGAGAGAGAAAAAAAAGGAATATCCAAACTCGAAAATCCTATTTGGGAGAGCGTAAGGGGGGGGGGGACCTAACTTTTATTGCTCAATTAATTTCTATAGTATAACGTTATGTCTGGAAAAAGGGACCCCCCCCCCCGGCTGTGATACGTGCTGAGAAATACAGTTTACTGTTATATACATGAAAGGTAATACCATGGTCACAATTTTTATAAAGTTGTTGTTTTCGTTAAAGTAATAAATTGGAATGGGACATTGTTGCATGAATGAGGCAAATTACATTTTTTCTGGATGAATGAAAATGTACGAAAAATCGTTGGGCTCATTTTCGTAGGTTAAAAAATATTTTTTCACGTTATAACGAGATTTACAATTGCAAGAAAACTTATAATTATTGCTTGTGATGGTCCAAGATAAAGATAGTCTTTAATCTTCATTGTATTGAATAAACTAGATCACAAACAAGAAAGAGGAGACTTATGCAAATTTCTTGGTTAAACAGCAAAAGTTTCCCGTTATAACACGAAAGTTTCGCTCTAACGTTAAAGTTACAAGTTTATTCGCGAATTCTTTTAACCTACGAAAATGAGCAAAATGGGCTTTCGTAACTGATTTGTCTTATCTATGCCTGCTCAATAAATGCAGATTTCTAAAGAAATATTTAAAATAAATTAAGAGGACATGTATTGACCCAGGTAAAGAAAAGATTGACATGTTGAGAAGGCCAAAGACAGGCGGTGGTCCGGCGCCTTCTTCCCTAACAGCTTCCGAGGACGCTTTGATGCAGGCCTTTGAAGGGCGACCACAGATATGCGGACTGCCGGATGGAATAGACACAGACGCAACTGATGGTACAAACAAAAATAAGATGAAGCTTTCTATTTCAAATTTTGCTCAACCTTCTTATTTCACAAAAATTTAAAATTCTGTGTATAAATTTAACAGAAATTGACAATGGCACGGCTTCTGTCTGTACATCTTCTGCCGCCTGCACATCTTCTGCCGCCTGTACATCTTCTGTCTGTACATCTTCTGCCATCTCTGAGTCTGCTACCCCCAAGACTGCAGCCACTGGCCATCAAGTCTCTTCTAAAAAGCCAAAGAGAAAAGGAATCAAGGATGCGTATGAAGAAGAAGATTTGGAGAATATGAAACTGGATAATAAAAAAATTAAGCTCCAAATTGAGAAATTGATAATTGAAAAGCAGAAACTACAGGCAGAAAAGGAGTTCATTGAAATTAAGAAGGCGTTTTTGGTCCGTCAGTTCGAGGAGCGATATCCAAATTCGATTATTTATACAAGTAATTCAAGTCTGGGTAATGAATTGTAACATTAATTGTTTCAATTACGAGTGTAATTTTCTTGGAAAATTTAAATGTACATGACTGTATTTAAGAAAAAAATTACATGAAACCTATAATACTGGTAAAAATAAATACTAATACATATAACGTTAACATTTATCTGTTACATTATTGCCAAAAGCTATTTTTAAGGCATAACAACATTTAATGCTGTGTTGTGAAATCTTATATCTTATCTGGCGAAGGGTACCTGAAAATGTGAAACGAAATAACGAAACGAAATCAAGGCCTAACGAATAGAAATAAAAACGAAACCTACCGAAAGCAAACCAAACTATCAGAATTACAAGCACTTCGGGTATGGACCCCCCTTTCCATGTAACTTGGTCATCTATATAACTGTTTAAAAAAAATTAATTATATTGTTATAAAAAAAAAGAGAGAATGTTTAAATTGTACATTTATGTATGTTGAAATGCCCCTCGGGGCCCTTAATTGGTAAATAAAATATCTTGTATCTTGTATACATGTACATGTAGACGAATAAGGACTGAAAATGAGAGTAAGACATAAAAATTAGAAAATACTACATATACTGAAATATTATGCATGCATAGTATGCTCGCACATATTTGCAGCTCTCAGCAGTTCCTTCGTGTAAATATATACATCACTACTAGGGAAACATTTTGACAGTTTTGTTTCGTTTCGTTGTGATTCCGTTTCGCTTCGGCAGATTTCGTTTCGCTTCAGTTCGTTTCGTTTCTATTTCGTTTCGCACAGGTACCCCTTTGCGAGTTTTGTATAGGTAATAAAATATCTTACTTAAGTGAAATACGTATCCACTATGTGATTGCGCATGTTTAATCCATCACCAACTACATGTAATGCATTGTCGTTTCCACCAAGCAGTTGAACTTCATCTTGTCTACAATCCACGATATCACCCCTGTCTATTCCAATGTTGTGCAATATTGCACAAGCAACGATGTACCTCGTAGCTTGACGTGGGTCTGTCCTGATATAGAATGAATTACAAATTATTTCTCCAATTAACGGTTGTTGATTTATTCTTTGTCCCGACTGACAAAATGAAATAATTGAATGCAAAATACTGACTAAGTTCAACGATCTCTTTTAAACAATTTTTTTAAATTATTCTTTTTTTTTTAAATTTTCAAATGCCAAATACCTTAATACCCCTTGTAGGCACGAAAATCTGCGCTTCAAAATTCCAAACGTTTGTTCCTCTAGTACCCTTGTTTTACAAAGTGATGCATTGAATCTCTGTTGTGGGACAGTAGAAGGATTCAGAAACGGTGTCATGAGATACCTTTTACACGGATAACCAGAATCTCCGAGTAGAAATCCGTTACATTCACCTATTAAGATGTAATACAGAATTACACTCTAAAAAATGCAAATAATTTGTTGGTTTTGTGTTTTTGAAATGATAGGAAAGTGATT